GTCCCCAGATGAAGTCTGCCTTATTGTTTTAATAAGTCTCATGGACAATTTTTTTTTTTGACAGAAGAGAGGGTCAGTTATCTTCTGATAATCTGGGGTGGAAGAAAAAGCAAATGAACTGAAATGAGGCACCTAAGAAATCACTAGAAGTGAAAGCTTAGCGTTCAGAGCCCAGGTTGTGTTTCATTCGTTGTGGTACTGTGAATCCTTTTTTCTTCCTCTTCTCCCCCTACCAATCCTCTCTCTCCCTCAGGCCCCCCAAATTGGATAATTAATAAATGCAAAATTTTGAGGATGAAGCCAGACTTTTGAAGTCTAGCTTAGGCCTTCATTACTTCTCTCCTAGATCAATGCTTCCCAAATTTTAGTGTGCATTCGAATTGCATGGAGATCTTGTTAAATGCAGATTCTGATGTAGTGGGTCTGGGTTGGGGCCCTAGATTCTGCATTTCTAATGAGATCCCAGGTGATGCCAATGTTGCTCTTGGATCATGGTTCTTGGTTGCCCTTGAATCGCCTGGAGAGGTCTAAAATATACTTATGCCTGGATCCAAGCACCAAAGATTCTTATTTAACTGGTCTTGGTGTGACTTGGGCATGGAGAATTTTAAAAGCTCCCCAGGTGATTTCCATGTGCCAGCCAGCATTGAAAACAGCTAATATAGAAGATGGAGTGGTGGTGTGGAAGTTAATGGGCCTTGTAGTCAATATACCCTGGGTTTGAATCTGGTTCCACCATTGACCAGCCAAGTAACCTTGGGTGTGCCCTTCACTCTCTGAGCCTCTGTTTTCTCATCCATTAGAATCAGGGATAATAATGCCTCCTTCTTAGGACTGTGAAGCTTAACTAAAATAAATTATGTTCAGTACCTAAAACAGCGCTAAGATATATACAATATGAATACTTGTTTTCTTTTCTCATGGTACTTTCTAGCTGAGAAGCATCTAGAGCATGATTAAAACTCATGATTTGTGGTACGGATTTAGTCAGCAAATGAGTTTTGATTGATGTGAATAATATATGTATTTTTAATCTTAAGCAGTCATTTAAACATCTGGAGTTACTTAAAAATCTAGATTTGGCTTCTTTGGGAGAATGTTAAGAGCTGGTAATAATGAGTGTCATTTGGCCTGCTTGGAGCTCTTCCAAACACACCAGGAATTCTGTCCATTTCTTCTAGAAGACAATGCTCTGAGAGCCTTCTGACCTGCTCCATTTTGGGATAGGGCTGACCTGCCATCCTGGAATTTTTTTTTTTCTTCAACATCTTGGGGATTCCTTTTGTCTCTCTGGAGTCAGAGACTCTCTTTTCATGGATCCATTATCTTCCTTGATCTAGAAACTTCTGGGAAAAGAGTATGTGGGAGGAAAATTTTGAGACCTTTCATATCTAAATATGTCTTTATTTTACTCTCATATCTGTTTGATAATCTCGCTGGGTAGAGAACTCTGGGTTGGAAATATTCCCCACCCCCTTCCCCAGAATTTTGAAGCATTATTTCATTGTCCTACAATGTTAAACTGATTCTTGATCTTTTTTTTTTTTTTTCAAAGATGGGAATTGGGGGAGGGAACAGCACTGGGGAATTGGGGGAAGGGGAACAGACAAGTTGCTGTCCTTTTGTTCTTCAGTCTAGTTGTGGAGGACGTTGCTTCACTGGCTCAAGTTGGCACCATCATTGCGCTCTTCCCGGGTGAGGCAGATCAGTCGCCGGCTTCTGGACGGCCACTCATGGTGGCTGCAGGCCGCTCGCGCTGGCTGCTGGCTATACACGGTAGCCCATGGCAACCCACTGCAGCAGGGACTGCAGCCTACACCGTCGCCAGCGACTCATGGCAGCCCAGCTCCAGGTTGAGCTGTTGTTCAGCATCTTAGCTGTAGGGGGCAGTGTCACTGGCCCTCATATGTGGGATCCGAACCGGGGTCCTCTGGTGTCCCAAGCCAGCTCTTAACCAATGCGCCACTCGGCCGGCCCTTGATCTTTTTAAATTTAGTACACACTCTGATTTTCTTCATCTCTAGAAGCTTTTCGGGTCTTCTCTTACCGGGATGTGCCTTGTGTTGGTTTATTTTCTTCCATGGCCCTAAGTACCTTAGGGGCTCTCCATATGGAAAACTCATGTCCCTCAAATAAGGGAAAATTTCTAAATCATTTCTATGACAATTTCCTTTGGGAGAGACTGTTTCTCAGAACAGTGGACTGGAGTCTCTTAGTCCCCATAGGGCAAATTTTTTCTTTTGTTTGAATTCATCTTTACATTGCCAGCACCTTAGCAATAGCACTGGGCATTTGCTAACAGGGCATTCTACCACTATTAGTAAACCAAACACGATTGAGGTAAGCTTCTTGCAATGTTTAAGTCTTAGGATTTAAATTTATGACCATACTTCTCACGTTTCTCAGCAAAGGCACAAGATGATCAGAATACTGAGTGACTGGCCCTTCGTTCCTTCTGAGGGTGCAGTCAAGCCAGGTTGCAGAACGACTACCTGCTCACGTGACTGCTCCCAAACCTTCCGTAGCTTTCCCTTGAGTATTTCTCAGCTAACTCATCATTATCTCTTCCCACTGCTATGCTGGATTTTTCATGCTGGGGTTGGTGAGAGTGGTGGTCAAGGAAGGCAGTGGGATGTGAGTCTACCAGTTTCCTGCTGAGTTGATGGAAGCTTTTCCTGCCTGCCCTGCCCTTAGAAAGAACTGCTTGCTAAAGCTTATACTGATGGCTGGGAGAGACTGGAGCTGAGGGTAGGGCCGGAAAAGATGTGCAAACCTGTCGGGAAAATCCAAAGGAATGGAAGTTAAGGGAAGGACTTGCTGAATTTAAATGGAAATCCTTTGGGATGCTTCTTTCAGGGTAGTTTATCTTTTAACTCAAGATTTAAGATGGAAAGGTTTATGGTTATAGAGAAGAAAAATATTCAAATGCCTTCTTTAAAAAGTGGCAGAAATAACATTCTCACCCCCAAAACTCTGCACTTAATTTTGGAATTAGTAATAAGTAAGACATCTGGATGGAATGGAGCAGAAGTGTTTCTGAAGAATTTTGGGAGCTGGGCATACTTTTCTGCAAATGAACAGCAGGCTTTATGTTGAAAGACATTCTTGAGTCTAAAGAGACAGCCAAGAACTTGTTGTCTCCCATTCTCTTCTCCTTGGGTGACCTTCACCAAACACAAACTTTTTATTATTTTTTTTTAAAAGACTTTATTTCTTTAGAGTTGTTTCAGGTTTACAGCAAAATTAAAATTAAATGGAAGGTACAGAGATTTCCCATTCACTCCCTGCCCTCCCCCCACACACCTCCCCCATTATCCCTCCCCCTCGCAGAGTGGTACATTTAATGAACCTACATGAACACATCACTATTCCAAAAAGTCAATAGTTCACATTAGGGTTTGTTCACACTTGGTGTTGTACATTCTATGGTTTTGGACAAATTTATAATGACATGTAACCACCATTATAGCATCATACAGATGGTGTCATTGCCCTAAGAATTCTCTGTGTTCTGCCAATTCATCCCTCCCTCCCTTCCCCTGTAACCCTTGAGAACCACTGATCTTTTTACCCTCTCTATAGTTTTGCCTTTTCCAGAATGTCATATAGCTGGAATTGTATAATATGTAGCCTTTTCAGATTGGCTTCTTTCTCTTAGTAATAAGCATTTAAGGTTCCTCCATGTCTTTTGATGGCTTGATAGCTCATTTCTTTTTCGTGCTGAATAATATTTCAGAGAATGAATGTATCATGATTTATCAGTTCAACTGCTGAAGGGCATCGTGGTTGCTTCCAAGTTTTGGCAATTATGAAAAAGTTTCTAAAACATCCATGTGTAGGTTTCTGTGTGGACATAAGTTTTCTCCTCCTTTAGGTAAATACCAAGGAGCACAATTTCTAGATCATGTGGTAGGAATAGTTTAGTTTTGTGGAAAACTCTCAAGCTAACTTCCAAAGCAGCTGTACCGTTTTTCATTTAGCAGCAATGAATGAGAGTTCATGTTGTTCTACACCCTGACCAGAATTTGGTGTTGTCAGTGTTTTGGATTTTGGCCATTCTAATAGGTGTATAGTGGTAACTTATTGTTTTTTTTAATTTGCATTTCTCTGGTGACATATGATGTGGAGTGTTTTTTCTTATGGTTATTTGGCATCTATATATCTTCTTTAGTAAAAGTATACACCAAATCAGTGTATATCGTTTAATTAGGTTGTTTATTTTCTTATTGTTGAGTTTTTAAAAAGCTCAAACTTTTACCCAGTGTCCTTTGAGGGGAAACTCTTTATAGGAGATGATATGGACTTAGATTACTTAGATTCAGACCCTAAACAAGAGGGGGAAGATTGAAAACAAAACCAACTTTTTGTGAGATTCAATTTGGTTTAAACTAAAGGTAGAAAGGATACCCCATAAAAAGGGCAGCTGATGGGATTGAGGTAATCCTGAAGAGTCATCAAAATTGGGCAACCTATGGGCGGCCGGGTGGCTCAGTTGGTTACAGTGCGTGCTCTGAACAACAAGGTTGCCGGTTCGATTCCCACATTGGATGGTGGGCTGTGTCCCGCCCCTCCGCCCCAGCAAAGTACTACTGGACTTGGAGTTGAGCTGCGCTCCCCACAACTAGATTGAAGGACAATGACTTGACTTGGAGCTGATGGGTCCTGGAAAAAATACACTGTTAACCAATAAAAATTAAAAAAAAAGTCAATTAAACAAACAAACAAACAAACAAAACTGGGCAACCTAGAACCAACATTTTCCTGTCTGTCTCCTGCCTTCACAGAAGCCATCCCGGAGTCATGGGCCTCAATGGCCCTTTTAGTTTTGCTTGGTTCCCTTCCACAAAGGCCAGCCTTGCTGTTGTGTGTCCTCCACTCATCACCTTGCTTGAAGAATGCCTTGCTGTGTGGAGGAGCAGAGTTCTAGAATGTTTTCTGTAGTTCAAGGGAATTATATAGTTTTTTTTCAAGCCCACTTGCTTTGTTTCCAACATCTGTAGATGGCTTTGGGGCATCCACTCTGGGCATGGCACTGGATTGTTCCCCATGAGAGGAGTCAAAAAAAAAAATGAGGGGCAGTGATTCTAAAGAAAATCTTGTGAAGTGAATGGATGGAGGCCCAACACAACAAACCCATGTGAGTAGACAGCCACGAATGTGTACAATTTCTGTATGGACTGAGCTCTTGGACCTGGGAAGCTTCTCGGGGAGACTGTTGAAATTGTACCCCAATCTGCCTTTCTCCCTTTAGGCTTTCTCCCTCGGCTGCTGCTTGGGGTGTGTATTCCTCTTCAAGTCAATACTGTTCCAGAAAGACCCATGGAGCCTTCGCTGTAGTACAGGAGTGTAGTGACGCAGAGTTTGGATTTTACTTGCAGAGAATCCCCTTCTTGGGTAAAAGGTCACTTTGCGCCTGAAGTGTGGACTTTTCTCCTCGGAGCCCTTCTGGTCGCCGTGTCTGCTACATGAACGGTGCAGTAAAACTGCTGACGTTTGAAGTGTGTTATTTCATCTGCATTACCCTCCTGGAATACTGCTATATAGGGACCACTCTCATGCCATCTCCTCGCTCATGAAAGCACTTGTGATACTGGCTAATTTTCTGAACTCAGAGATAATCATTATGTTTCTATCACTTTACATGTTTAATTGTAGAGAAAAAAAATTATAGTAATACAGTGCTGCCGATAAGCACGAGACCCAAATAACCAGGCTCCCTGAAGCCCTCTGACCTGCCTGTTCATATCTCTTGCCCATATTATTGGTGTTAGAAGAGTTATTAATATATACATTTATTGATTTATAAGAGTTCTTAGCATATTTGTATTTAACGATACTAGTCTTTTGTCATATTTTTGCAGTTTACTTTTTCTTTTGATTTTTAAAATGCTTTTTCTAGTTCAGATGATTAAAATGTTTATGTCATCAAATTTGCTAATATATTTTCCTTCATAGCTTCTGAGTATTGTTTAATACTTAGGTGTTTTATAATCTAAGATGACAATCAGATTTTTTCTCTCTCTCTCTTTTTTTTTTTTTTTGGGTAATTCTCTTAAAGTTTCCAGTATACCTTCGATTTCTCCTATTTTTGTGGCAGAGCTACTCAGGAAATGAATCCACAGAGCCGCCTTCTTTCCTAGCTCATTTGCAGCAGCGGCAAGCTGCTAGGGAACAGGAGGAGAGAAATAAGAGACAGCAAGCTTTTGGAGGAGCCCAGCGCTGCACACAATAGGTGCTTAGCACACCTTTGTTGAAAGAATACACTGTGGGCTTTTGTCTTTACTCAGCAGGGACATAGCTCCTTCGGCTTTGCCAAGTACTTTCCAGACGTTATCACTTGCACAGCCCCAAGATTTCCTGCAGTAGACAGAGAAACTGGGGATAGGGTCGGGGGTGGCTTGGTCAGCACTGGCCAGAGCTGGACGACAGCTTTATAGAGGAAATGCCTTGCAGATGCCACTGGGGGGGGGGGGTTCCCTCCTCCTGTCACCAGGACTTGGTGACTGGAGAATTTCAAACAATGACAGTTTCTACTGGGAGGTAGCTCGTTTTGAAGAAGGACTTGTGACTTTAGACAAAACAAATAGTATGTAAAATGCATTTTGTCCTGCAAACTGGGGAGCGAGCTGGGTGTCCTGCTGTGGTTTCCATTCTTTTTCTTGTCACTTTCTGCCATCTACTGGCCACAGCGCAAATTACTCCGACGTTGCTTGAGGTTATACCTATGCCGTCCATGAAGAATACAGGGAATAGAGAGGAGAAAGGCTCACCCTCAGCCCATAAGCGATGAAGCCACATGCTTAAGACTAATTTTCATGGGACCAGGCTGAAAGATTTATGTCTGAAGCTGGTCTTCTGACTTGCCTGCCTCTAAGTTCCACTGAACAGCATTCTTATAACCTGATGCCAAGTTCCTGATTTCGGCAGTCCCATCCTGGGTTGTAAGTCTCACTTGTACTCAGATGATTAGTGCTTTGGGTCTAGATGTCAAAATATTTATTCCCAAATTTCACTTGTAATTGTCAAGGGGCCAAAGAGTCCCATCAGATCAGCCATGTAACTTTTCATTAGGCAGAGATCCTAGCTCCACTGAAAGCCAGGGACCATGTGGGCATCTCGCTCCTGTTATTCTCCATTACTTTTTTTTTTCAAAGTAATAATGGACGTTTAATTAAAAAAATATTTTAAAATTTTAATTTATTTTTTATTTTAATTTTTTTAAAATTGGGGAACAATGTTGTGGAGGGCGTTTTTTTCCAGGACCCATCAGTTCCAAGTCAAGTAGTTGTTTCAATCTAGTTGTGGAGGGCGCATCTCAGTGGCCCATGTGGGGATCGAACCGGCAACCTTGGTGTTATGAGCACTGTGCTCTAACCCAATGAGCTAACCTGCCACCCCTAGACATTACTTTTTTATGTTTTACTCTCACAGGCCAAATGAGTCTCTCCAATGACTTTTAATATTCATTCAACAAATGCTTACTGAGCAACTACTATGGCCCACACATGGTGCTGGGGACACAGGGAAGATATGGTCTCTGTCCTCCTGCTTACAGACAAACAGAAAGTCAGTTAGTTGCACATACATATAAAACAGTCAGTTTGGGGCAGGAGGGTGTTGATTTAAGCCAGATTTGTTACTTAAATACATTTCACGGAGGCCCCTGGAGAACTCAACTAAAGTATTTTTTCAGGTAGATCTCTTTGGGTGATTTCCAGGCACAGGCTGATTGACCAATGAATCTTTCTTTCAGGTCTTTCTTGTTTTTGGGTTCACTCTTGCATTCTTTCATAAAATGTGCCCAAATATTAAGGAAAGGTAACCCTTTCCACAGCCCCAGCCACTGGCTGGTCATTGTCCCCAGGAGAAGACCCCAGCTGAGAATAAAAATGATACATCTTTACAGTCTAAGTTCAAAGAAACATCCTTCCCTTTTGCCAGACACCCTACCCCAGGCTTGTAGGAACGTGGGACTGGACAGCCAGGAGATATAGTGGATTCTGTTGGAACTCCTTAACCCCAGAAATGGAGGTAGCACGTGATAGTGTTAGGACCTGGGGAGACACTATTGTCCCTCTGGAAGCTGGGGTTGGTGGGGAAATTGGTCAGGCTCCCCCAGGGACATCATAGCCATAGGTGCTACCCGGGACACTGTCGGCCAAGGCAACAGACACTGTAATGTGACCAGTGAAGTGGTGCCAGCCCTGGGATGTAGAGTAGACGGGACAGAGAAAGTGGAGGGTTACCTCCTATGTCTAGTCCCTCTCACACAAAGAGACTCACTGCCAACCCCCCAACCCCCACTGCTGGTTTTCCATAACCTGTCCAAGCGAATGAGATCAGACAGAGAACCAGACCAGACCAAGGGTGTGACACCCCTGCCCCTCTCCTCCCCATTCTACAAGAGTTCCATTATCTGCGTGAGGCTAGCAAGGAGACAGAGCTAGGAATGGAGAGTAACCGAGATAACAATAACACCCAACTTTCCTGGGTCAGGATGAGTTGCGAGACCTGGATAATGTAAGGAGCCTGCTCTCAGCAGAGAAAAGCTGACAAATAAAATGATTCTTATTTTGCTTCTATCTGATGCTGAATATATGATTCATGCTTGCTACAAGTGTTGTATTGTATGCCACCTTAAGGACACAAAGGTGAAAAAGGTGGCCATGGGTCAGAGTGGAGACCGCCCTGGCTTTGGAGGCAGACAGAGGGTGTTTGCATTCCCACCACTAGATTCGTGGCCTTCATTCATCTCTGCCTTTGTTTCCTCATCTGAAAAGTGGAAATAATAATGTATTCCTTTCAGAATTCTTATAAGGATTAAAAATGTATATAAAGCATGGAGCATTGTACATTACCTATTAATATTATGAGGAATAGGTTGTCTTGCTCTCAAGGTGCTTGTAGCCTAGTTTGGAGTACTAAGACGATCATAATAATCATCACAATTATTTTTGTAACAAGCAATGCCTTCGCAAGTCAGAGAGGAGTTTGAAGTAGGGGGAGAAGCACCCCACTGACTTCCGTCACATAGCTGTGGTTTGTGTAGTCCAGGGTATTCTAAAGTTCCAGAAAATAAAATATGACTGAGGAACGCTATCATCCTGCATCGGAACCCCCTAATTAGGGAAGGAGCATCTTTAGAATTAAAGTGGCATCAAAGCCAAGAAGCGGGTTTCAGAAAAAGGAATTCCTGGTATCTGAACTCAGAACAGGGGTTTTCACTCCTGGTTTATGAAAATGAGAAAAACCCAAAACGCCATGAGTGCTTATTAAGCTCCTTCAATGTAAGAATTATGAACAGTGACGTGTCACTCTGCTCAGAGGCAGGGGCTAGGCCAGGTGGCTTTAAAGTTTGTTTTGCGTTATGGTGTTTAGCGCATCTGGTGGAAGGATGAACAGAACCTGGACAGTTAAACGGGAAGTCCCCCATCATTACAGGCCACACACAGTTGTCTCCTAACTATCTATAACAAGTCAGCATCCACTCAGGACGAGGACGTCTGCATATTTTTAGACAGAAAAGTGCTGTCTCCTTGTCATTTTGTAGACAATGCATTTCTCTCTGCTTCCCTTCCTTAAGCCTCCTGGTATCTCCGAAGAGAAAGGAGCTACCTGGTAAATAAAGATAAGCTGTGCTTATTAGCAGAGATTTGCCAGGGAAGAGGCTATTTAAAAATGGATAAGAAGGTAATTGTGTTTCTCTGGCTCTAAAGCAGGGCCTGGCCTCCCAGAAGAGCTGAGCAAGTGTGCATGCCACCCCGGCCTGACCTGGGGTGGACACATTCGAAGCTGCACTCGGTTGTAGGAACCCTCAGGCCTCTGAAGTTGCTGAGTTGTCCTGACAGTTGATTCCCTCCGCAGCGGGCTGATGCTCTGCCAGGAGAGTAAAGTGCTGTCGTTTTTAGACCGATCCTTGGAAGAAAAGAGACAGTTCCGCCCCGGTGCCAGGTCGTACCTGACTGAACCGTTGTGCACCTCACCCCCGCATGCTCCGTAGCAAAGACGCGTGTGACGTTTCCTGGGAGAGCCGGGTAAACCTCTAAGGAAATGGAGAATGGTGGCAGAGGCCATGTCTCCATGATGTGCAACATCTGGTTCAAAACTGAGTTCAGTTCGCTTCCAGATGTTTCCACATGCATAGAAGTTTGCCAATGGGAAGGCAAAGCGATCTCTTGACAGAATGTTCTACTTTCCACCTGATTGTTCTGGAGAGAGTGACCTGTTCTTCAGTCATGTTTGCTTTTAGATGTGAAGAACTGATATTGGCCAAAAGACGAAGGCACCCATCTTTCTCTATCCACTGTTCATAGCGTGACTCCCCCACCCCCCATCCACACCCTGAGCCTAATGAAAGCAGGGAGCCCTGTGCGGAGAGGACCAAGTGCGCTCTTTGTCCTCACATGAGCTCAGTTCATCCCGATCGTGCTGATTCTGTGGGATTCCCAGAAAATAAAGGCCAGGGACAGAGCACCAGGGAGATGACCTGGTCCGCTTGCATCTGCCTCCTTCCCACATACCCGCTGTTTGTGAGAGGACCTGGGTGAGGGAAGCTGAGCTTGGAAAAACGTTATGCTGAGAAATATGAATACCTTTGCAGGCCCCACATTTTCTTCTCAGGCTAATTTATGAGCATAATGTG